CCTACTAATAACTCAAATCAAACACCCAATTATTATCAACCTTTGCATAATCCACAACAACCATTATTCCCGAATGACACCTCATCTAATTCAATGGTAATGCCTGATTTTAGTAAATACGTAAATACTTCTAAGACTTCTAATACACCTCCTATACCAACATATACTCAAAATATCCCACCAAAATTGGTAAATTTAAAATAAATTTTTTTTTTATGGGTAAAAAAAAAAAGAGAAGTACAAATTATTTTTAATTAACAAAAAAATTTTTTACAGCCTGTTAAAATAGATCCTATAAGGAATGAGTATGTCATCTCATTAAATTATTTTGATAAATCAAAATTACAATATCCATATAACTTATACAATTTTTTTACGTTTCCCTAGTCAATTTAACCCGCAAAAAAATTATCAACCTATGCCACAGTCAATGAAAGATGGTAGGCAAACTTTTAATGGAGATTGTAGCCCACAAAAACCTCGTATATATGTGCCACAACAACCAGTGAAAAAGGATGAACGAATTGCAAATAATGGTTATAGCACACAAGAACCTTATGTATCTATGCCGCAACCGCCACCGAAAAGGATTCCATATCAGGATAATAGTTATGCATCTATGCCACAGCCGCCAATTAAAAGGGATGGTTCATCTTCATATCGAGAATCTTTAGTTAGCAGTCATTTAAAATTTCTTATGAATCCAACTTTGTTGTCACATATAGCTTTAGAATTTAGATCAACAGTAAAATTTGGAAATCACATTAAAGGCGCATTAGAATATCCAAACAGTTTTACTGGAGCAGATGTAGTGGTACTTATCGCATCATTTTTTTTTTAATAAAATAGTCCTATCTCTGATGTCAAATTTTAACATTATATTATTCTTCACCTGATCATTTATAAAATTAATTAGAAAACAATACAATCAACCTTACCTCCTGAAGCACCCAAGCATGTTGCATTACATATTGCACGCTCATTGGAAGCTCAACTTTACTTTAATCCAATTAATTGGTCAAGTGATGGCCCATTAAAAGATTCAAATGACGAAGTTTATGTATTCTTTAATCAAGATCTCACTTCGCTCAACATTTCAGAATTAGACGAAGATTTTCCTACAGGAGTTTTTCCCACTGTTGGAAAATGTTATAGTCCTTGTTGTGGACTATATGGTAAAGGATGTTATTCAATACTCTGTCCTAATTATGTTCCAGTGGTAAGCTAAATTTTTAATTTTTTGAATTAATTTGCTTGCTTAAATGGTCATGAATCAATTCATTTTTAAATTATTGTTAATGTGATTTTAGGAAGGGACACCTGCAGATCTTCCTCTTATCAGGAAAACTAGCCTTGAAAGTATCGAGTCACCAGTAAGTATTTAATAAAAATGTTAATGATTTAATTCCATTCTCGTAATAATTTTTAAAACCTCCCCCCAGAAATTATCAGCTCCAACATTAGATAAAGAACAAGATCGTACATGGTCTGGTGCAGTTCCAAAAGAAATACTTGAAAGTGTTTCCAAAGAAGAATTGAAACGTCAAGAAATCATTTACGAAACAATTTATACAGAAAATGATTATATAAAAGATTTATATCTTATAGAAGAGGTTTGTTATATAAATACATTAATATATATATTTAAAAATTTTTTACCCAATTAATGTTTTAATTTAGGTTTACATAAAAGGGATTCGTAATTCCCCAGAAATAATGACTCAACAAACAAAGATTGAAAAGTTTATAGATGATGTATTTTATAATATTTTTGAGATCAGAGCACAAAATGAAATTTTGCTGGAAAAGTTAAAGGCAAGACAAAAAGAAAACTATGTTGTCAATGAAATCGGTGATTTATTTTTAGAATGGGCATTTGATGCTGGTAATAAATACGTCAGATATAATGGTCGAATCCCTATTGTTGATAGTCTAATAAAAACTGAAAAAGCAAGAAATCCAAAGTTTAAACAGTTTATGGAGGTGCCGATTAATTCTTTAATAAGCTCAAATCATTTTATATAATGAATTTAATGATTTAGTTCTAACCATTACTATTATCATTATATTTGGAATAATCAGGAATGTATGAGAAGTCCGAAAACCAGAAAATTGGATTTTCGTCATTATATTCAAAGACCAACTGGCCGTCTACAAAGATATACATTATTTCTTGAACAAATCATTAAACATACATCTAATAATAGTCAAGACAAAGATTTGCTTGATACTGCATTGCAAGTAATAAAAGAATTGTGTAGAGAAAGTGACAGTAATGTTTCTAACACTGAAAGAAAATTAAAACTTGAAGAAATTGGTAGAAAATTGAAGAAAAAGAATGGTGAATCCTTAGTAAGAAACTATTCCATAGTATTATGTCATCAAGAATGTATATATGTATTATTAATTATCATCATAATTTTTTTTAGTATGAACTTAGTCTTAATGATGATTCAAGACAATTAGTATTTAAAGGTGAATTGCATTCCAAAATGGATAACTCCCTCAAATGGACTACACTTTATGTATTTGTATTTGATCATTATTTGGTCATTACTAAACCTAAGAAAGCTTCAGATGGTGAAATTGAATATGTTTTGCACAAACCGGTAACTTAGTATAATAATATCAATAGCCAATTTAATTCTTTGAAATTCAAAGTCTTTAAATTCACAAATTCAAAAATCAAAAAAAAGATTATTCCTTTAGATAAACTTTTATTGGATAATGTTTCTGAGGTAAATCAACAAAAATTAAAATTAACAGGTTCGTTAATTAAAAAATATTTAGAAAGGGAAAATATAAATTTATAACTAATAGTTATACAAAATTAGTAACCATAGTATAAATTGTTATATTACAAATTAAGGTTTGGAAAATTATGGTAAGCAATCATATTGTTCATTCACCTTATCACATATTGGTAAAAACGGAGGAACCTATCAACTATATGCTGAAACAATCAATAGCTGGAGATTATGGAAAGATAAAATTATTGAGGCGCAAAATAAATTGGATTTGATGAGATCTAAGAAACAAGTATTTGAGTTATTCACATTGAATGATGCCACTTTCACAAATCTTTCTGTTGGTGCTCCTGCTAATATTGCTAATTTACAAGAGGAAAAAACAAAACATTTCTCAAGAGGAAAAGTTAATTGTTCCATACCATTTTGTATGCACCAAAATTTCATTTCCTTTTCTTAGAATATAATTTTTTTGTTTGTAATATAAATAATTAATTGTCATATATATATGTGTGTGTGTGTGTGTTTATAATAATTATAGCTGCACCAGAAAACTGTAAGATGATCGCAGTAGGGACTGAGGAAGGTGTTTGGATAGGATTCGGCGGCGAGACAAAAACATTTAGAAAGGTTTTGAATGTTGGAAATGTGTCACAAATAGCAGTGATCGAAGAATTTGGAATATTTATTGTACTAGTAGGTTTGTGATCTTTTATTTTATATGTTTTTAAAATCTTGTAATTTGTAACTTGTAATTTTGTAATTACTATTATTTCTCACCCATTCATTCCTTAACAATACAAACTAATGTAATGTTAATAGAAAAGTCGCTTTGGGCATATCCATTAGAAGCATTAATACCATCATCTTTGACTGCCGATTTTAGTCAATGTGCAACACGACAACGTATAAGTGATAGTAATAATGTATCTTACTTTAAGGTTGGAACTACGAAAGAAAAGAATACAGGCGCTGAGAAAACATTGCTAGTATATATGAAGAAAAAGAATTTAAATTATAATTTTAGTGTTTTAGAACCAGCTATCAATTTAAATGAGGTTGATGGAGAAGAACCAAAACAGAATAGTCGTGGATCTCGTGGCGTTTTTCGTTTTCTTCACTCAGATAAAAATTGGTTTAAAGTTTATAAGGTATAATATATATATATATATATATATATATATGAGATATCTGAATAACCATTAGACTAGATTAATTTTTACTAATTTTTTTTTTTTAAATTTAGAAATTTTATGTTGCTTCTGAATCATATTCAATAAGTTTTTTAAGGTCAACACTTTGTATTGTATGTGCACGAGGATTCGAAGTGGTGAACTTGGATGAATTGACAAATATCCCATCAATACCAAATCTTTCATCGCCTCAATTTTCTGATATCTCAAAAAAATGTAACAAACCTTTGGGAATGTTTAGAATAAAAGATAATGAGTTTCTGATATGTTACGATGGTATGTATGATAATAAAATAATAATAATAAAAATAATAATTGGTTGCAGTTTGTTTCTTATGCACTTATTTTTCATATTTTCATATTTAGAAATATTTTTCTTTGTTGATAAGCATGGTAATTTATCAAGATTAAATATCATGGAATGGGAGGGTAAACCTGAGGCAGTTGGTAAGTGTAATTTATATTTATACATATACAAGTATATAAGATATTTGATGTGATTCTAACAATTAATTATTATAATTAGCATTACAATTTCCGTATATTCTGGGATTTAATCCATTGTTTATTGAGGTGAGAAATATTGAAACGGGAGAGTTAGTTCAATATATTTTAGGCAAAAATATGAGATGTTTAAATGATAATTCGTCAAGTAAAGATTCAATCCATGCAGTTATGCAACATCCATTGGAAGATAGGCAATACATCTTTAAATTGATCTTGGCAAAAGATAGAAAGCAACACACGAAAAGAAAAAACACATCATCATTATCACCATCATCACCATCATCATCATCACCATCACCATCACCATTACCATCGTCATCATCATCACCATCACGTATTCGACGAGAAGTATGATCTTCTGTCAACGCCACATAACATTATTGTTGAATAATATTTGTTTATTTATTTATTTATATAGTTTTTATTTTTATTTTATATTTATTTTTGATAAATTAGAATTTAAGGTTTTGGACTTTTTTTTAAATCAATCAATTTTATATATAAATGCATGACATAAAAAACACATTTTGATAAATTATAATAATATTTTACTATTGCATGAATTAATTAAACAGTGGAAAAACATACAATTATTTTGTTAAATCTCCGACCATTGGATCTTTTCGATATTGAAAGTGTGTTGTTCAGTATATGTTGACTGGTGTTTGATGGTTTGTATAGGTGTATAGGTTTTGAGAAGGGTAAAGTGGGATGAAAGGTCTTGATGTACAGTCCCCGGCGGAAGTAATGGCGCGTAAATTTTTTATGAATAAAAAATGTACTTTATTAAAAATTTAAAAAAAAAAAATTTTTTTCTTAAAGCCAAATAGTATGGCTATAACTTTTATTATGGTGTTAGTACTTGGTATGAGCCCCTTCAGCATCGATGCGCGCTTGAACCCGATTTTGCATGCTACCGATGCTATTAACTAATACCAATAAATTTATTTTTCGAAACCTTTTTTTTTTCTGCTGTCATTTTTTTGACGTGTTTCTCAACATTATGCTTCAAAATAGCCCATACATTCTCAATGGATTAAGATCTGGGCTATATGAAGGCCAGGCAAGAACACGTCTTGGAAAGCGGGTATTCAGATCATTCATAACGTCCCTATATGTATACTTAGGGTCGTTATCTTACTGAAAGACCCATCGGCCACCTACTAATGCATCAGCATTATCTTAAAGTTGTTCATTTAAAATTTTACGATATAGGTGGCGGTCAAGGTTTTCAGTAAAGATATGAATACCGACCTTCCCTTTAAAATTGATCGCACCCCAAACATGAACCTTAAGGGGATGTTTTACCATAGGCTGGACAGGTTTCTTTTCACGAGACCATGCTAACATCGTATTGCGAAACAACTGGATAGTTGTTTCGTCTGAAAAAACAACTTTCTTCCAGTTGTAATGCACATGATCTTGTGCCCATGACAAGCGGTTAATCTTTGCTTGTTCTGTTAGATGAGGAACTTTTCTGGGAAGAGTAGCAACATAACCGAGGTTGGAAAGCTCACGGCGAACAGTCCCCTCACTAACTTCGAGATCTTGGTATTTTTCTTCTAAAATAGCTTTCATTTCGGTGGCGGTCCTACAGTGTGTGTCACAACAAATTATCAACTCCAACTATAAGGTACATAGCTATGACAGTAGTAGTAGACATGTCGATCGCGTGAAATCTTGTCTGACTGGTAAACAAAAAACACTGATGACGATCATTATTTATTTATTTACTTTTATGGTTACTATATTTATGCGACTCACAAATAAACATTATAAATGAACGCTTTATGGTATTATGCCTGAATAAGTAATTCAAATATTCACGCCATTACTTTCACCTGGGACTGTACCAGCAATTGCAGTTGCTGAATGAGAATCCTGAGGCTTTCACACTTAAATGACATGCATGATGGGTTGATACACTCAACAGTAACATGTACTTTGACACTAATTATCTTGCCATTTTCATTGATAATTCTATTGGATTGATTTTACAGGCCTAGCCTGTTGGAAACATCATACACAAGCTTACAAAGATCGATATTCATTAGTCATTACTATACATGAAGTCGAAATTAAAACACCAAAGTCGAAATATTTCGACTTGAGGCAACTACATAGTAAAAATCAGTTTCGACCTTATTTCAACCCTATTTTGACCAGATCTGCAAATGGTCGAAATGGTTTCGACTTCATATAGTCATTAAAACAGTATAATATCTTTTCTGCTGCCCCCTCATCTTACCACAACTTCTACAAGCATGTCTTTCATACATGAATTGACACGTGTCAATTATCATAATTGACAGGATAAATGTATGTTGTTTTGGACATTCAAGGGGATGAGAATACGAGGAAGGGATATGATTTGGTGCAAAATCCATCAAGTTGTGAGGTTGTGAAAAGAGGTTGGTGATTGTGATAATTAAGGTTGACGAGGACGAGGACTTTGATGAAGACGGTTTATTTCGAGCCTTTTACCTAGCATGTCCTTTCCCATGTTCTTTTTGTACAGCAAAGCCGTTAATTATCATGTCACTTGTTCAACGAGGCTTGGATATTCAAAATTTTGCAGATCTTGGTGGATTTTATGAGCTGTATCAAATTTCTTGGCTGTTTTAATGGTATGCCCTTTTGTGCAAGAGCATATCTTCCAATGCCTTCTTATTCACTATTTTTTTAAGAGACGCTTCATTAGCCTTGGTATGCGAAACCTTGTTGATATAAAGAACTGTAGTTTTAATGGAATGTGGGGGTTTATTTCATCAAAGATGAGGGGAACGAGAAGGAAGTGAAAGGGGAGGATGATTATCTTCTTCAACATCCATGTGTTCTGTACCGCTGTCATTTTAACCCAAAGCACAGGTTCTATCATTTAACATGCGATGATTCGATTAAAAAAATTAAAGGTCATAACACATAGTTACGTCACATCTTTTCACCTAGTTATACGTCAATTGACGTATGCCAACAACTTAATCACCGTATTGATGTACAATTCATTCTCTATATAACGAATGGACCATTTGACTTTGTATTAATATTAAGAAAAAATGCTCATTATAAAAGAATCCGTAACAATTTATCCGTTATAGAGAGAGTGAATTGTATGTCATCACAAATGACGTATAACATGATGAACCTTACATAGCAATGATAATAAATTAATTATTTTTTACATAAGTAAATCAAACTAATTAATTGTTTCTTTTTCTAGAAAAGAATCCAACAGCAGCATTTCAGGATCAAAATCTAATATCTGTATTATGTTGATAAATTATCTCTTCAATCAAATCAATAATATTCCCAACATACAATATACTTTTATTTACCACACTATCTAAACCATTATCACAATCAAATGTCGATTATTTCTCAAGTTCAAGATTCATCAGTGTGCTTATTTGCAATATTTTATGGATCACACTAGCATTCAAGTTGTTTTCCATACTCGTTGACAAGTTGAAAAAAAGATATTCATCTTCTAGCATAATTGACGGGATTATTAAAGAACTTATACACAACTCGCATGCACGTACCATGCTGATGCAAGTAACAATAGCTACAAAATTTTCAGAACAATCCATTTCTATAATATCAGAAATACCAGTTTGTGATATTGGTATTCTTTTTACTATTAATGTTTACGACATTCTATTTATTTCGAATATTTTTGATATTCCAAATATTATTATTATATATAAAAAAGAAAGGAATTTTTCCAATCATTAAAATAAAAAGAATAAAAAGTTAACAAAAATTAATTAATAATCAATAAAAATAATCAATCTCATCTCAAAGTAATTTACACTTTTTTTAACGAACAATCAGACACCTCAACTTCAATAAATAATATCAATATTGGTTCTATGAATACTATCACAAATATTTTCCCTCGCAGAATAATCATTTGACTAGATATCAAACAATTTTTATAGCAATTCAACTTTTGACAATAGCAACAACAACGGCATATGATTATTGAGTAATAAAACGTTCATTTTGGAAACTTGATTTGCAAATAGATCTTGGCTTTAGCATTTATTTCGATCACCCGCTTATATTTGAATAATTGATAAAATATTCATTAAATATATTTTGCAAATAACTTCACAGATCTTGACTTAACACTTATTTCAATCATTCCTATACAAAATATTGAATAATTGATAAAACGTTTATTTGCAAAACTTGATTTGCAAACTCCTTAGATCTTGTATTTAACACTTACTTTGATTACGCCTATACAAACTATTGAATAATTGACAAACGTTCATCAGTATATTTTACAAACTTCTTTGGAAGCTTCGTACGTTGTCATGCATCTTGTATTTAACAGTTACTTCCACAAACTCGCCAACTCTTTGAATTTTTTTTTTTTTTTTAGATTACGCAGGATTACACAATAAAAATTATGGAATAGAATTTGTCAATGAAATGTTGTAAACTATATATATCCCATCCACAACTTGAAATATAAAACTCATTTTCCATTATTAGTACTCGTCTCATGGTAAGACATGCAATGGAAAACCCATGTGACTCACTTAAATGTGTTATTAAAGTCCAGCAAGTGAGAGAATGGAATTCTTGCTGATAGCCCTGCTGGGTGTATTGACCCTTCGTGACATGATCTCTCTCTTTTGTTAAATTTTATTGTTGTAAAGCATTATTATTATATATAGCAAACAACAATGAATCGTCATTTTTTGAGGATGATAATAAAGATTAAGATCCGATTTTGATTCATGAAAATATACAAGTTTTCAAAAAAAATGTGGGAATGGCTGTCCTGTTTATATGTTTTGATTTAATAAAATAGACTACTGTCTTGGCCCGAGTGATGTCACTTTTTTGCTCTTTGCGACGAAGAAGATGCAATCCCAAACCCACCTTAAAATAAATGAATTTTGTTCTCGCGTAGAACCGCGTGCGTGGTTTGTAACACGAAAAGCAAAAGCTCGCATTGCGTTCTCAGTTGTGAGCTTGTTAGTAAAAATACTTAATATATAAAATTAATTTGTTTGCCAATAATGTTTAATTATTTTCTTTGTTATAGAAAAGTGATAATAATAATGTACAAGGAGAAGAGCAAAAAGAAGAAGAAAGGAAGATGAAAGTTTTTACAAGTTTGATGAAGAGCAACCCCTTTTTTTTCTTTCTGGTTTGGAAAAATTAGAAAATTTTTTATTTACATAAGATTAAAGAAAAAAATTTCCTCTTAACTAATTTTTGAATATCATAATAATAATAATTAAATTAAAATTTTTCATTAAAGTGATTTATTTAGCTAATTAAAATGTTCATCATCAATTGTTGAATAAATGTGTCCTTCATTGATTAATTGATTAATATAATCTCTAAATATAAAAATATTATTTATTTATACACATAAATGTTATGATTACATTTATAAAGAAGCTTACTTGATGTCAAAGTTATAATTTATATCTCTTATATCGGAACCAATATCTTTGTCATTATTGTTAATAAAAATTAATGATTTGATTATAAATATTGGGTAATTTTTCTAATATATGTATTTTTTTGATTCTTGTTTTTCGGTTTCATGACAAATCTCCTTATACGGAGTGAGCCAAGCTATCTTTAAAGCCATTAAAGAAAGCCAATATGACGATAAACATTACCTCCTCCAAGGAGAAAAGAAAAAGAAAGGTTTTATTTTGGGTGATTGAGAGGAGTTAAAGGATGTGGCGTCGGCGTAATATAATAATAATTAATATTGCAATCTTTAACCCTGGCGTACACTAATTATTTATGTACGCGTATGGGTTGTACAAGAATCCCCTTTTGGGTTTTTTTTGATTGACGCGATTGATTTTTTTTTTTTTTTTTTGGAAAAACAATTTATTTTTTGACAGATGACAAAACGTGAGTGATGTTGTTTAGCATGATTTGGTTCTAAAGACATGTTAATAACTAACCAGAGGTAACTTTTTTTTAATTTGCATTGATTTGTCATTGAAATCAAAACGCGGAACAGAACTCGCTGGGTAATTATAAGATTCTCATCAAAATGGTAAACAAACGATTGGTATTTGGCTTTTAGCAATCAATGTTATTATTATTATTATAATTAATTACAAGTTGTCAAGGACGCGTATGGGTTGTACAAGAATCCCCTTTTGGGTTTTTTTTGATTGACGCGATTGATTTTTTTTTTTTTTTTTTGGAAAAACAATTTATTTTTTGACAGATGACAAAACGTGAGTGATGTTGTTTAGCATGATTTGGTTCTAAAGACATGTTAATAACTAACCAGAGGTAACTTTTTTTTAATTTGCATTGATTTGTCATTGAAATCAAAACGCGGAACAGAACTCGCTGGGTAATTATAAGATTCTCATCAAAATGGTAAACAAACGATTGGTATTTGGCTTTTAGCAATCAATGTTATTATTATTATTATAATTAATTACAAGTTGTCAAGGCAGCACACCTGACTTTCAGAAGAAACATTTGATATGAATGTTTGATTATCAGAATTTTACAGATGTTGAAGCACGCACACTACCTTGAACACTCTACAGTCATTCTCACATGTTCCTCGTGTGCACAAGGTAAATCTGACTTGTGCCCCCGATGATACATGATGCAACTGAATTCCAGGGGGTAGCATGGCCATGGAGTTTACCAAGACTGCATCAATCGTCAAGGACACTTTTCACTAATCTTCCCTCACAGCACCAGACCAGAGAAGGCTGACAAGTTAGCCAAAAGTTGACTGTAACAATCCTACCTGTAAGTATGGCTCCATGACCAAGTCACATACTCTGGAGGAATATTAAGAGAATCTACAGCTTGTTTCAAGCACAGAAGGTTGCAATTCAGAATGGAGTTGGTGGCCCTGAAATTGTGTTTGGGCTCTGATGTTGTGAGGAAAGCTGTAAAATAAAATGGTTCGGATTTTCTTTGATATGTATGTATAAATTAATCATTCATAAATTCTGTTTCTTTAATTTTTATTTGACCAAGTGAATTTGTTATTTAAATGGGGTAGGGTTGTTGGTGAGCAGATGTGCCACTGACAAGACAGCAACCCAGGACTCAAAACTCTGAATTCAGGGAAAATCCAAAACAGCAACAACCCAGGTTGCAGCTTCCCGAGTTGTAGATACCAACTTTATTCTGTTGGGAGGAAAGCTGTAAAATAAAATGGTTCGGATTTTCTTTGATATGTATGTATAAATTAATCATTCATAAATTCTGTTTCTTTAATTTTTATTTGACCAAGTGAATTTGTTATTTAAATGGGGTAGGGTTGTTGGTGAGCAGATGTGCCACTGACAAGACAGCAACCCAGGACTCAAAACTCTGAATTCAGGGAAAATCCAAAACAGCAACAACCCAGGTTGCAGCTTCCCGAGTTGTAGATACCAACTTTATTCTAGAGAGGTATATCACACAAATGCTGATCCTCATCAATGATCAATGCCCATATGGTAACAACCAAGCCTGGTCTGAGAGGAAGATATAATTTTTCTACAATTGTAAGAATTACTTTTCAACAAGATAAATTATAAGTATTTTTGAACAGGTACTTTGATTATTGTAAAAATACAAATTGCCTTTATTTCTTAGAGGATAATTCTAGTAATAATAATAATAATAATAATAAGGGAAAAGATGTTGAAACATCAATGGATGATTAATTTAATCTCCACTATAAATAAATTATATATTTATTTATCTTTTATCTTTTCATTCTAACAATTAATTTGAAAAAAAAAAGTCAAAAATTTTTATATTCTTAACTTTACAATAATGTTTTGAAATAATAAATATTTACAATTTTAATTCTTGTTCCAGAGCAGAGAATCGGAGGTTTTCCTTTCTCCTCACATTTGTGCATAATGAATGATGTTGGTGGAAACACCATTTGTGGTATAAAATCACTGATGAGGATTCTTTATTGATAGAATCCAACATATTATTCCCAATAGATTAGTGATAAAATACGTAACTTGATTAAACATCCAATTATATATACCGACTCTAATTCGCCATAGTGATATATAAGAATCTAATCTCATATATATCGTCACCAATGAATATCATCGCTGTTTTGGGACTTGAAAATTTGGCCACGAGGCGCAGCATTTGATGTCTTTAGATGGTACGCACTATATATGAAATATAGGGCTAATTTACATCATCTATACTCCAAAGTTAAAATTTTTGAAATATTATGTGATCCACAGATTGGATTTTAAAAAACTTACCATCATTCAATTCAGCTTTAAAAGGGGAGTCTATTAATCTAAAAAAAAAATTTGTCTCAAATTTTCTTTTCAT